TTTAATATGGCACAAGGTGAACATCACTAAACATAATTTATTCAAATAAAGACCTCATATGCATAATTTGGAATGAGGAAACGCTGGGATAGCCTTATGTCTTAAGATAACCGTGTCATTGGTTAGAGAATATGATCAACTGATATAATATATGCTAATAATTTACATATTCGCAGTGAAAAATGTACATAATTAGTCAGTTTGGACGGCTCACATGATTTGGCAAAGGATGATGAGCAGGATTGTAGATGTAAGCCATTTACAGGTGGTTTTCACCATGTATAAGATTTACTAAAGCACTAAATATGTCATGGAGGTATGAGATCGCCGAACTCTAGTGTAGTATTAGTTCATATATCTACCCTTGTTGTTTCTTCTTTGCCATACATTGTACCAGTTACAGTTATTGAGCAATACAGATGATTTGATTTATATGTACTAAAGATCTAAAGATCGATGTAATCAACATTGATTTGATTTGATTTATTGAAATTGCAAACAAATGCAATACTCGTGGGCCACAGTACAGGCAGCGGGGGCTGGTGTTGTGGCCCAGTGACACACAAGACAAGCATGAGCACACGAACAATAAGACACACATTTAGACGTAAACAATATACATAACATTACAATCAAGAATCAGCCTACTCGTAGATGAATATCAACCTAATATATATAATTCCATTTACTACTTGGTACAGTTCATGCAATTCCTAGCCGCCAGAATGTTCTCGTGTCTGGGACACGTCTCCGGGCCGACTGGTTCTTGAAAGCACTATAACGCTACGGGCCTCTTTAACATTACAAGACGCCGGTTTGAATCCTCTGTGACGAGCTTGTACATAAGTCTTAGCCGGAGGTCTATGAATTCGAGGGGATTCATTCCTCAGGTTAACCGACATCTTGCACACGCAGTCGTCCCTCAGTAAGACATCTGGAGCCGCATAGTTCGTGTTTGTGTGACAGGCTGAATAAAAGTTCTAAACGGGAACTGAGGGACCACTGCGTGTGCGAGATGTCGGTTAGCTTGAGGAATGAATCCCCTCGAATTCACATACGTCTTAGCCCGAGGTCTCTCCGTTCCTCCGCCGCCTTTCCGCAGCCCTCTCGGAGGTCTGAAGCGTGGGAGGATCGATCGCAGACGCTGGAGTTGATTAGGAACGCGCCACGGAAGGCTTTAACAGCCAAATGATATGTTATCCTGAAGCCCCCCTCTCACTCCTGTGCGTAGGTACTCCCACCTGCACTGTGCTAATCATTGTCAGCGAGGCTCTGCAGCGCCAATATGCAACTCTGAATTCCGACAGAGCTATTGCTAGTGTTATGATATATTAGCTGCAAGATACATACATTCCTATCACCTCATGTATGTGTGCATGTGTATTATTCCTAAAAAAGTCTTAAAAATGGAGCTTAACACTACAAACGATTAAACTGTTTCGCCAGTATGGCACTCTGATGCTCCGGTTAGCTGCAGGCTATATGCATGGATATCACCTCATGTGTGTGTGTGTGTGTGTGTGTGTGTGTGTGTGTGTGTGTGTGTGTGTGTGTGTGTGTGTGTGTGTGTGTGTGTGTGTGTGTGTGTGTGTGTATGCGCGTGTGTTTAATTCCACATGCGTATCACCTATATACAAGTCTAAAAATCGATCTTAAAGAGAAAATGTTACAAAAAATATTACAAATGTACTACAAACAGTTACACGGATTTTAAGTAGCACTTTGTATCCTCAATATGCACCACGCTACTCTGATGCTGCGGATAGCTGCGAGCTATGTATCCGGGGGAAAGCCTAACGTATCCTGTACATATGTGGAATACTACAAGGTCCCTGTTCTCCGGATTTGTGCAATCAGTAATCGATCTTTCGGATTTCTGGTGGATTCCATTCCGGGATCTGCCAGTGTCCGCTTGTATTTGCCAAAAATACGGAAAAATTCCGGTACGCATCTGCCACGATCCGAGGCCATTTCGTGCAGTGTCATTGAGATCGCCTCATATGTGTGTGTATATCATTCCACATGCATATAATATCTACTATATACAAATCTAAAATCGATCTTAAAAGGAAAAAAATAATATTACAAATCTACTACAAACAGTAGTACTTTGATGCTCTGGGTAGCTACATTGATATCACCGCTTGTATATGTGTGTATTATTCTACATACACGTCTAAAAACCACGAAAATATTGCAAATGTACTACAGTTAAACTGTTTTAGTACAGCTCTGCACCGCCAACATGACATTGATGCCCCGGTTATAGCTGCAAGCTATCACATGGATATCACTGCATGTATGTGTGTGTTTCATTCCACATGCGTATCACATATATACAAGGCTAAAATCGATATTAAAGAGAGAATATTACAAATCTACTACACTCCATAAAATTATAAACTGTAATTGAAAAATATTGAGATAAGGGTTTTAGGTAAAGAAACAATTTAGAAATTAGGTCATTGTGTATAGCTCTCAGGTCGAAATGATGCTGACCACAGGTGGTTGATAACACCGTTAAGTAGCCACACGAGTCTTATCGTTTAATCAATTGTCGTTTAGTCGCCCATTACCACAAGTGCCGCACAATACAGCCGCAATCGGGCCTCAATACGACCCGGCGGTAACGACGGTTGAAGTGCCCATTGCCGACCCCTGGGGGACAGATGATGGTGGAACATCGCATCGCACGCCACATGAAACACCATCTCGATATGTATGTGTCTGCTGAGATTTTCCCTCATAACATCAGCGGGGAAGCAAAGGTCGTCTTCGTGAATGGGAGCGGTACATGTAGGGTGGGTTAAAAGGGCGCCTGACATCTGGTACATGTATATGTATTATAGAACTGGCTTACAGAACTGGGGATTTGGTGGTCTTCCGCTGTTTTCTGATTAGCCCAGTTCTAAAAACGGGTGTAATTCAACCAGGCCGGCTATGTTGTCTATATGCAATCAGAAAATAGCGCATAAAAGATCCCAAAGACCATGAAGACCCCCAAAACCTCCAGTTTTTGGCATGCTATTATATTGAGGCTATGAAATTCCCCCATATCAACTAACACATCAGGGTGGGCAAAAGGGCGCCTGACATCTGCTGAGTACACATTTGTTCACAAAGTGTCCTCAGTTATTCGACACGCCCACGGTGCTTTATGTGTTTGAAATGCTTTCTTGAATATACAATGTACCTTGTTAGACAAGCATGAAAATACACGTGTAAAACATACGCAGCTACACACAAAGGCGTGTACGCACACATGCAAACACGCACTCACGCACGCGCCCTTACACACACACACACACACACACACACACACACACACACACACACACACACACACACGCACGCACACACACACGCACACACACACACACAGAGTCACACACACACACACGCACACACAGACACACACACAAATACACATACACACACTAAGATGTACACATGCACACGCATACACATATGAGCAGACAAGTGACTTTATTAGTTGCACTTGCTCTGAATACAAAAGAGAAAGCAGTTGTGGTAACCTTTCTGAATATGTAGTGTATAATGTGTTGTTGATCATGTACAGCATTTATCCTCCCACAACCAAAATATAGTAACCATGATGTTAAAAGCTACCTACTTTGCACGATGGTATGCCAGTATTGGACTTTATGGACTTTGAAAGATTGGCCTGATCTCAAAAATGGACTTACCGGAATTTTTGGACTGGATTGCTCAGGCTCCTTTAGCTATCTGACCCAATCGCTCAGGACATGTGATTTTGAACGGTGAAATAATGACGCTAAAGCCCCTGTCCAAAAACTGCCGAAAATGGCACCCTGAACACTACTGGCTGGTGCTCGAGAGTAGGTCACCAGTGTTGGGGGCGTGTTTGTAGGGAAAATTTGACTCAAATTTAACTTAAATTCAATTCGTATAGAAACGTTGGCTTGTTGTCGGGGGAAGGTTCTGAATAGAATGTTTGACAGGGATGAGAGTTGTTAACAAGATGCATCGTTCAAATAACGATACATTTTGCAACACGTTTTCCGGGGAACTTGACACATCAGAACACACTATCAAACGTACATTGCGATGCCATATTGCTTCGGAATGTTACAATAATCCAAAATAAAAGTACGTCTTACGCTACGATATTAAGGCCACAGCAAGTAAATTTTATGGATGACATCCAAATATAATGCCAGCGGGCGAAAAAACAAGGCGGGCCGAAAAAAACAAGGTTCCTACAATTTAAAATTTGTTCTTAATCATTGTACAAATGGTTTCAATTCAGTGGGAACATCACATATACACAGCCAACACCACAGATCACTGCATCTCTCTTCATAGCCAACACCACATATCACTTGTCTTCTCTCTTCATAGTTATCTGCCATCCACCTTCAACAGACATCTTTGCATTTCTATTTTTGCATGTTCACCATTGTCAGAAGGCAACAAAATTTCTTTTTCCCCCCAAAAATCAGGCGAAAATTAATGCGCGTGCTGATGTCATCCATAAAAATTACTTGCTGTGGCCTAATGGAAAGATTTCAACGATTTTTACCTTCACTGCCAAAGCGACCGACTCATCAACGTCCAAACGATCGGGCGCCAACTTACCAACATTTTGGTATTGAATGATTCTTTAAAAGAGGTAGATGATCATGGTTTCTCATGTACATAACCCAGGGCGTAACGTTACATACATACATACACACTCAATAATATACAATTCAATTGTATTGCATACGTTTGAATGTCACAGATACACGTATCGGAAACAAAGTGGAAACAACAGTAGGAGTGGCAGAGCTAAGAATGGCGACTTTAGTCTGGAAGCCCTTGATTTCGGTTGATCTCCTGTGCTCGATGTCCTCTTCCCCGCTGAAATAAAACAAAATTTCAATTCAATTCAATTTATTCAATCAAACAAAATCGTGCAAAAGCAGGAAATGCTAATGCACCCCCTGAATTGTGTATTCAATTTTGACAATTAAAAAAAAACAGGAAAAGTACACAGAAAAACACTATTATATAGAAATATGTACAAGCAACATTAAATCTACAGCAGGGAATAGGAGACATGGGTTTTCAAAAGTCAGCCATTATCACTTAAAAATACATGACTGTACAATTTTTCAAGCGTACAGTCCTAGCTTTAGGCAAAGTGAACATGTTGTTGTTCTTCAGATTCTGAAGTATTTTGGTTTTCGGGAATGTGGGGACAGTCTAGGAGATCATACGACGTACTTAATTTGGGACTAGAGTAGAAACCGTTCAGTGTTGGAGGATGACTTTCTGAATTCCCACAATTCAACCAATATCTATTTCCTACTGGCTTCCGGCCAAATTCTTTTCTTGGAACCTTCAAACTCTACAAATTTCCTGTGTCTAACGTTTTAAACTGCCATTATGCCCGTCAATCAATCTCCCCCCACCCGAGTGCTGACAACCAACCCTATCCGGACAAACAGAAACACAAACACACAGTTCAGCCACCCAAAACAATATTTTTCCGTACCCGGACGATACAATGTGATAAATCAGTGCATTCTACTGCGGTAATATATAAAAAGAGATAATTGCTTTAATCTTTCTCTTATGCACTGTAAATCGTGTCATTATGAGACCCCATAGAAATGATTCACGTAGGTACGTCCTTAAGGCCATTCAACAAGCACTAATTATTTGAGGCTTAGGTGTATTTCATAATGAGAATATGAATAGCTCTCTGTTACTGATAAGAGATAGCAGATGCTATCTGGCATGACGTCTAACTCATTAGAGAATCTCTCCAGTCGCTTGATTAATTTAGCATCGCGTAAATACAGTATGGAGTATTTTTCCACATGTTAAAAATTTCTACTTGTTAGATATCAAAAACAAAAGAGGGATTTTTCATACAAATGTCTTTCATGCGCTGGGAATGGTATTTGTATCTGTATCCGTATAGCCTGTATAACCTTCCTTCGGTGAAACACACCAGCTTCACAGGCACGCGGCGCGGCAGCAGCTAGCTACATCACACCGAACGACTTGTTACACGCAATCGTTGCGCATTTAATTGCAGTTGTTTTAAAGCTTTCTAGTGATGATTCCCCAACTGTGCTTGGTGGCAGGGAGTTCCACTCTACGATAGTTCTGGGAAAATACGTATTTGTACACCTCAATTCTTGGCTGATAACTCTGATATGTGCCAATATATATGATGGAAACCGAAGGCATGCATGCCGTACATGTATGTACATGTTGATGATATAACGTAGTAGCGAATGAAAATGTTGTGAGAACGTCATACATTTTCTGTTACACTGCCCAGTATATAATCAGCAAAGAGTCATGTTCGAACAATTCATGTATTTTGTCGCTGTATACCTGTATGTCTGGTGGTGAGGTTAAAATTAGCTACAGCCAGAGCACCTCACCACCATGTCCTGTATTATACATGTCGAATTGCGAAAAAAGAAAGAATGAAAATGTAAGATCGCACTAACCGTCGGACGGAGCCTCGCCTGTAAATTCGTTTCCCGTCCCCGCGGCGTTACCTGACTGAGACAGGACTGAGTTCCTGGGGTCCGCCGCCATGGGTCTGCCGACAGCTGAGGGAGGGATGGGACAGAAGTGGATGGAATTCGATAACTATGAATGTGATTTAATGTCGTCAAGTAGATTCCATAATTTATATACTTATTTATTTATTTATTAACGCTATCAATATTGTTATGTACGCTTTACGTATTCATGTATCTTCATGCACTCTCCCAGAAGGGAACATATGATTTTTGCTAATGGTTTATGGATCTTCCGTTCAAACACATGTCAATGACCTGGACCAGACGTCTGTCACCATGGCAACTGGTGTTGTGGTGTTGAGTTACGTAATTTAGCCATGGGTCGGCCTACAGCTGCGGCAGGGATGGGAAAGAAGTGGTTGCCATAGAATGCCAGGGCTCAACATATTTTTGCATATCTGCACCGGCTCGATAGGCTCGTCCGTCATACACCACATACTGTATATGATCATGGTAATGACAATTTTCAAAACACCGTACTTACTTTGGTACTTTAGCCAGAAGCCTTTGTTCGTCCACCGTCCCGTCTGAAACGACAGCCACACCTGGTTCCCTTTACTCTCGAACGGCCGGTCCCCGGGAGTGTTACTCGCGCAGTACTTGAGAATAGAATAGCAGTTACCATGTGTCATTTTTTGTGAATCATATCCACTCTTTACCCTGTATATTAACGTTATATTAGTTTTAAAGAACATACAGTAAGTTAAATAAGCAAACCGTATAACTCCATGTTAGCATAATAACAATCTTAAATTCACCACATTCTGTGTTCCTTGCTTTTGTCAATGTCTGTTTGCAATTAGCCCTCGCTCGGACACGAAATTGCAATACATACATACATTAGCGGGCTATCAGCTGGGCTGGATGCCATTTGGGGTCGTGTGGCGCAGTCGGTAGCGCGTTCGGCTCACACCCGAGAGGTCGTGGGTTCGAACCCTGCCCATGTCACCGATCTTGTGCCCTTGGGAAAGGCACTTTACACGACTTTCCTCACTTCACTCAGGTGTAAATGAGTACCTAGCTTCGGCTAGGGACGTCCCTCGGATAGGACGTTAAATGGAGGTCCCGTGTTTTGGAGAGCCACACTCCACGCAGGTTAAAGAACCCACCGCACTTATCGAAAAGAGTAGGGGACCTTCCCGGTGTGAGTGGTTCAAACCTTACAGTCTGGTCTCGGGGTTGACATCTTTGAAGAGGTGATAGTCACCTGTTATGTCAATCCTTCCACAAATGTGGTAAATCGTCATAAAATTAAATAAAAAAAATAAAATCACATACAGCTCTCCAGCTCTCTCTATTTAACGAACTTACAATAAAGAACCCCTTACTTGAAGTCGTACGTGTCGTTGCTGTTGCCGATCTGCACGAAGTCCGTGGCGTAGTCACAGCTGGTGGTGTAGCTCAGC